TCAAGACTCAAGATAGAATTTGCTCATAGACGAATTCAGCAATTTATTTAATAAAGAGCTTAATCTTTGGCAAAATTTGTGTTTGAATTTGCATGAAGTACTGTAATTTTGATTCTTAAAGTATTCTAATATTACAAAAAGTGTATTATCATTTGATACTTGCTTTGAAAAGAATGCAATACATCAATATAATTATTAAATTATACAAAATATCAATTAAATTAAATTTAATTACAATAAATTAACACGTTTAATAAAATATTGTGCAAATATACTTCATAGGGCTACAACCCTAGGCACAACCTAAATTTGAGTCAAAATTTTCATTTTCAAATATGAACACCAACCTCAGCCGCGCAACCTATTATTAAGTTGCGTGCACTAACACAAAATCATGAGCTTAAGAATAGAATAAACTCCAATATCATGACTGATTATGTTTTTCTTCTTCATAATTATAATTTTTTTCTTTAAAGTTTATCCTAGTCAAGCCACTAAGCTGCCCGGATTATATAATCATTTTCAAGTAGTTAGGACAAGGTTAATTAATGATGTAACGCTTTCAAGGTTTCGTGCATCATCATCTTCGATACCCCCCCTCCCAATGTGCTATTGAATATAATATATACATGCTTCTTCTTCTTCTTCTTCTTCCACTTAAATTGTCAGCAGTGGAGAGAACTATCATGGAGCTTTTGACTCAGTTTCTTCCAATTGGGTTTAGTTTCTAGTTAGACTAATTAACTTATTTCATTAGTCCTAGATAGCTAATCGAATCAATCGATAATAGATACGTGTTTTTGGGTAAATTGATAATATACTTTACGCAACATATACCCTGTACCCATAATTTTATTGCATCATTCAATACCTTGGTTAGTTCCATATGTTCATTTTCTATCATTTTCTCTGATCTTCTCATAACGTTTACCCAAAATTTCAAATTTTAGTATCCTACCGAACTCCTCTTTCTTCCATATCCATTACCTTCTAGCGTTATGGATAATTTGTTAGATACATCATTCTTCAATGCATCGCATTTCCTTGAATGGTCACAATTGTTGTCGATACAGCGAACTCTACGGACCACCACATGATTAGCCTAATTTAGCAAAAAAAAGGGTGTTCGTAACATAAGATTTTTTACGTGTGGATCATACTAATTAAGTTGACCTTTTTTCGGTTTGGATGATCACAAAGTCTCTAAATCAATTATAGCATAGTTGAAGACTAATTTTTTTATGAATAACCTTAAAGGCATCTTATATTAATTTGTTATATTTAAGTAAATTAATTTTTTGAGATATGTACTCTAAAACTTAAATTTTAAACTTAATTTATAAGACAATATTTGTTTTAATAGTGAATCCAACCTTTAAAGTTTAAGGGGAAAAAAAAAGCCTCTCTTGTTACAAAATCCAAATCTAGAATTAATTGCCACCATAACTTAATTACAATTCATTAGAAGTGTATGAATTAATGGAGTTTCATATAGTTTTTCAATTTGTTTTTTTCCTCCTTCACATGGATAAGAATAATCCTCGGAAACATGTGATCTTGCTGATAGTGGAAGCCTAACATGAGCACTCACTTCATTTCTTACGGGTCAGGAAGATCTTCCATACATTTTAAGGAAATGATAGCTATAAATTGAATTGAAAGAGACGAGACCCAATAACTTTTGACAAACACAATGAGGGAGACTAGAGCGAGGCTGTGGCCATGAAAAGTTAAATTTGACATCTGCTTGAAGCCGGCACACCCTATCGGAAACCTCTCACTTTCATAACAAAGCTTCACGTAAGTGACACTACTAGTTGCTATTAATCAAGATTTGTTGTTATAAATGCAAAATTAGTTACTATTAATTTTAACGACTAAATATTTATAACGGACAATGACAAACTAAATTTTAAATATAAGCATAATTTGTAACAAAAAAATTTAATTTTTATAATTAATTTTACCATCACCAAAAACACGTTTCCTTGTAGTGTAGCTAGGGGGGAGGATGCACTACTACAATTTAGGCTCCATCTAAATATATTGTTGTTGTTTTTAGTTTTTTTTTTAATCAGAAAATTAATTATTTAATATTATAAAAATTTAAATTTATAATTATAATCTTATATC